TCTGTCACTTCTTGCATGATTCCTAATGCTGTCTCTCCTTTTGTGATTCCAAGTGCTTGCTCTTTATCTCTTCAGAGTGTAAGTCTCTTCTTTGTTTCTGTGGCTCTTCTCATTCTCAAAGTCAAGAGTATTAAGCTTCTATTTTGTCATCTTGCCAACTTTATTCACTTCTTATCCTATGTGCTATACCAGCATTATGTTTTCTGATCCTGATTACAGGTTGTATCTGTAATAATGACTTCTGTATTAGTTTTCTGGGGCTGTAACAAATGGTCTCATAAATTAGCATGGACTTTGTGACTTGAAACAATGGAAATTATTTTCTCACAATTCTGGAAGCTAGATGTCTAAAATCAAGATATCAGCAAGGCTGATTTCTTCTAGGGACTCTCTCCTTGACCTTTACAGAATCATTGCGTTAGTCAGTTTTCTGTCACATGAGGTTATTAACATGTAACAGAAAGAGTTTATTTAGCTCATGGTTCTGGAGATTTCAGTCCAAGATTAGGTGGACCTATTCTTTTGGCCTCTGGTAGAGGTGTTGTATGGCAATGGTGGAGCACATATTATGGAGCAAAATGCTTAAACCATGAGCCATGGAACAGAGTAATAGGAGGAGAAGAGGATCTCACAATCCCCTTCAATGGCATGCCCCCAATTACCTATAGACCTTCCATTAGTCTCCACCTCCTGATGGTGCACAGCACTTCCCATTAGGCAACCCTGGGGACCAAGTCTTTAACACATGGACCTTTGGGGGGCTCTCATCCAAACCATAACACCTATCTGCTTCCTTTTTCTGTATGTGTTCTTTGCTGTGTGTCTGTATCTTATTATTTTCTAATAGTATACCTTTCATACTGGATTGGGGAAAATCTTAATGATCTCATTTAACTTAATTAACTTTTAAATACTCAGTTCCAAGTAGTCACATTCTAAGGTATTGAGTGTTAGGCTTTAACATATTTGAGGTTGGAGAACATAATTCATCCAATAACAGTTTCCAAATCTATACATTCAAACCAGTCCTTGCAACATCAAACTTAGATATTGTTGTAATTCCTAGACATCTTTTCTAAAATATTCTACATATGCCTCCAATTCTTGACTGATCTCTATTACCTCACTTACTGCATGGAATCTATTTGATGAACTATAAATTTAAGAGTCCTTCTCTTTTTGCTGGGTGCTGGTTGCTCACACCTGTAATCCTAGCTACTCAGGAGGCAGAGATCAGGAGGACCACAGGTCAAAGCCAGACTGGGCAAATAGTTCTGCAAGACCCTATCTTGAAAAATCCTTTGCAAAAAAATAAAGCTGGTGGAGTGGCTCAAGGTAAAGACCCTGAGTTCATGGCCCAGTACCATACACACACACACACAAAGTCCTTCTGTTAAAGGAAGAGTCTTCCTTTTTCATGCTTATATATAGCTAATCAGTAAATACTGAGCCCAAATTCTGCAGATTTACCTCCATGCCCTCATCACCAATCTACTAGATTGGTAGATAGATAAGAGGCTTTTTAAAATCTCTTCACCGCAACGATTTTTTTAAATTTTAGAAAATTAAAGAAACGTTAAGCAAATAATGAACCCCAGCAGACTAAAAGACCAGCTTCATACAGTTGTCAGTTTTCTAATCTTGTTTTGGACTTCAGAATGGCTTAAAAGAACATACATTTATTATGTCATGGTTTCTGTTGGTCAGGAAGCTGAACACAGATTATCTTCCTCTTCTGATGATTTTAAGGTTACAAAAGGTCTCATTGAAGACTACTGAGAAGCTTAAATCTATTTTCAAGCTGTCCTCAAATAGTTAGTGGAATTTATTTCCTTGTGATTATAAGATTCATGGTAGCTTTGTTCCGTGTTTTTCTTTCTTATTTTTTCTTACTAATGTTTTGAAATTCCTTCTTATTGTTTCTGTTTCAAGAGTTTTCTGTAGTCATTCTTTTTAGAGTTAATGTTAGTGACATATTCTCTTAATTTTTCTTTGTCTGAGATTTCATTTCCACTTCATTCCAGAAGAATATTTTCACTCAATATGCAATTTAGGGTTATCTCTTTAGCACCTGGAAAATACGCTGCTTCCTTCTGCCTCTCTGATTGCTGTTGAGAAATAAGCTTCCATTCTCATGTTTTTTCCCCATATAAAGAAGATATTTTTTCTTCATCTTTAACTTACAGAAGATTAATTATGGATATATCTTGACGTGTTTCTTTGAGTTTATATTGTCTGATGTTCAGTCAGATTAATGAATATGTGGATTTATGTCTTTAGCAAAATTTGGGAGATATTCAGTTACTGTTTTTCCACGTTTTTCAGTCCCCTCCTACCCGTTTTCTTCTCTATTGAAATTCCAAAAACCTGAATGTTATATTTTGTTATAGTTACACAAATCCTTACAATGTATGGTTCATTTATTTTCTAAATTTTAATTTAGCAAAATACATATAAAATTACTCTCTCTCCCTCTCCTTTTTTTTTTTCCTTCAGTACTGTGGCTTGAACTCAGGGCCTTCACCTTGAGCCACTCCACCAGCCTTTTTTGTCATGGGTTTTTCGAGATAGAGTTTTGCAAACTATTAGCCTGGGCTGGCTTCAAACTGTGATCCTTCTGATCTCTGCTTCCTGAGTAGCTAGGATTACAGGCATGAGCCACTGGCACTCAGTCTTAAAATTACTCTCTTAAATATTTCTAAGTGTATAGTTTGGTAGCGTTAAGTATGTTTATCATATTGTTTTGCAGTTAATCTTCAGAACATTTTTATCATGGCAGATCTGAAATTCTATACCCATTACACAATAATTCCTTTTTTCTGCTTACCCCAACCTCTGGCAATTACTATTCCACTTTGTTTCTATGAGTTTGATTATTTTTTGATACTCCATATAAGAGGAATCATACAGTATTTGACTTTTTGTGACTGGCTTATTTCATTTAGCATAATAACCTCAAAATTCATCCAGGTTGTAGCACATGTCAGAATTTCCTTTTTAAGGCCAAATGATACTGTCTTGTACTCTTATGCTTCATTTTTGTTTATCCATTTAATATATGAGGGACACTTCGGTTGTTTTGAACTCTTGATTACTGTGACTATTGCTGCTGTGCACATAAGTTTGTAAATACCTCCTGAAGACTGATTTTAAATTCATTTGAGTTTATACCAAGAAGCGAAATTAGTAGATCATGTAGTTCTGTTTTCACTTTTTTGTGGAACCATCATACCATTACAATCCCATCAGTGGTGCACAATTGTTTTAATTTCTCTACATCTTTGACAACATTTGTTAATCTCTGTAGTATTTTTTTTTTTTGACAGTACTGAAATTTGAATTTAGGACTTCATGCTTACTAGGCGGCAAGGGCTTATCACCTCCCACTAGTGTTGCAGCTGGTGCATTCTCAATAAATAAGCCAGATATGGTGCATGCCTGTGGTCTCAGCTATAAGAGGCTGTAGGTGGGAAGATCGCTTTTTGTGATCAGCCTCAGGTGAAAATGTTGAAACCCTACCTGAAAAATAACTAAAGCAAAAAAAGGACACACAATAGAACCTTTTTTATTTAGCATTATTACATGCATAAAGATTTGCTGAGATCCTAGCCATTGTACTACGGCAAGAATTACAAATGAAGAAGTTTGGAAAAGAAGAAATTGTGGTCTCTCTTAAGTACAGTTATATGCATATAAACTCCAAAACAGTCTAGGGAAATTAAATTGTAAAATTAATAAATGTGTACATAGATTGCTGGATATAAATTCAGTTTACAAAAATCAACTGTTCTATATGCACTTAAAAAAGATTTAGAAAATGAAATTTTAAAAGTGATCCCATTTATATTAGAATAAAAATGTCAAATACCTTGAAATAAATATTATGTAGACATGCAAGACACATAAAACTTGAAAATCTTTTTGAATAACATTAAAGATTATCTAAAAAGTGAAGGAATATACCATGTTTATGGCTTTCATAAATTTAGTCCTTAAATCCCCCAACCTGTCTAAATGCAGTTTCAATCAGAATCCAGAAGGTTCTTTAGAGGCTGATAAGTTTATTTTTAGATTTATACATTCCCTATTTGAAGTTATGTCATGGGGCTGGGAGCCCTGATTTCTGCCCATCCCAAAAAATGCACATTTTGTTCTGTGAAATTCCATTTGTGGGAGTAAGTTCTATAGAAATAAAAGTACCAGTACATAATGACATAAAAGGACACTTACTATATTCTTGTTGGTTATAGCTAAAAACTAAGCATAAAGTTATTTCTCAGTTGTAAGAGCATCACTTGATACATTATAATATATTCCTTTTTTTTTTTTTTTGGTGGACTGGGTTTGAACTCAGGGCTGTGCATTAACAAAGTAGGTGCCCTACCACATGAGCTATACCTCCAGTTTATTTGGCTCTAGTTATTTTGAAGATGGAGGTCTCAAACTTTGCCCAGGCTGGATTGCAACCACGATCCTCCCAGTTTCAGCCTCCCAAGTAACTAAGATTTCAGGTGTGAGCCATGGACACCTGGCTAACCTTATAATCTCACTTTGGAATTTATGTAGTCATTAAAATGATGGATTAGATGTATACTCAATGATAGGGAGCTTTTCTATGAGAGTTTTGCTGATGAAAACAAGGATATATGATAGTATCTTATTCTTATAAAACCAGCCATGATAAAAATAAATCTCTTATGTTTATATGTGTTTGTTGATACGTGAATATATATATGTATAGGATCATATGACTATAGAGAAAAATATTTGAGGCCTTGGAAAAGTAAGGCACTAAAACCAAAATGTGTAAATATGATTAAATTCATCTAATATTTTATATACTGTATGTGTAAAGGTGTTAAAAATAATTTTAAAAAACTGTGTTACATTTCATTAAAAGTTCTGTAATATATAAATGAAGGAGTTTACTTTAGAAAAATCACAAAATCAAATTCTTGAGAATTAAGTGAGTATATGTATAATTTTTTTTGTTTTTATAGTAACTCCTCTGACTGAAGATGTTCTGATAACATTAGGACAAGAAGAGGTAAGTCGTTTACAAATTTGTAGTAACTTCAAATAATTTATAAGAAGAACTGTTTTAGATCAGTTTCATGACATGAGAAATACAACCATTCTAAACCATTAAAATTTTCAAGTTTATGTTTTATTGAACTGAATATTTTCAAAGATTTGAATTTGGAAGTCATTCAGAACCATTGCTGTTGTTGGCTAATATGTAAACCTTAATCATGTATCTAATTTTTAGTTTATTAAAGTTTCTTCATAGCAGCAAAAGGTTAAACACAACTAAATGACCACATACATACATCTCTTCTGCTATGGGCTACATATTTGTGTTTCCCCTCCCCACAATTCATATGTTGAAAGTCTAATCCCCAGTATGAGACTATTAAGTGGTAAGACTTTTGCAGGGTGATTAGGTCCTGAGCATGGAGTCCTCATAAATGGGACCAGTGCCCTCACAAGTGGCTGAAGACACCATAGTTCTTTCCTTCCATCATGGGAGGACAGAGCAAAGAGGTACTATCTATGAGGAAATGGTCTCTTGCTAGGTACTAAATTTGTTGACAGCTTAATCTTTTTTGGGGGGTGGGGTGGGGCGGGGAGCGGGTTATACTGGCATTTGAGCTCAGGACCCTGCTCTTGCTAATCAGGCACTCTACCACTTTATCTACATCCAGCTCTTTATTTTTTATAAGCTGCCCAGCTTGTACGTTATAATATCAGTCCAAAAGAACTATGGCAAAATCTTAGTACTGAGACATGGGAGTAGTACTATGACAAAAAAAAAAAAAATGTGACAGTGGCTTTAGAACTGGATAATGGTAGGGGCTGAAAAATTTTAATTTGCATGCTAGAAAAAGCCTGCATTGCCATGAGGAGACCTTTAAAGGCAATTCTGGTAATGATTCAGAAAGAAAACAGGAGACCTACGGAGAAAGCCTGTTTTCTTGTAGAGTGCCTGAGTTATGCTGAATAAAATGCTGGTAGAAATAGGTACAGTAAAGACCATTCTGTTCAAGTCTCAAGCGGAAATGACAAGCATGTTTGTAAGGATGGAGAGGGAAAAACCAGTGTTTTCTACTTTTACCAATTCAATACAACACCTGTGGTCATTGAAATAAGTGGAGATTTCTCCTCAACAGAAGTTAATCCTCTGGCAGATTCTGCTTCAGATGATTCTGCAGCAGACATCAGCTTGGAGATTCCAAGGATTTAGTCTTTTTCCTTCCAAGGAGGAAGACCAAAAGAGCGTTTCATAATACCATAATGTTACTAGTCAGTGGAGGAAAGACCATCCTTGTTACAAAGAGACAAAGGTCTTGGCTAGATTGTGTCTATGTCTTAGAAAGGTAGAACTTGTGAGCAATGAAGTTGAATATTTGGCTCAGGAAATACTTAAGCAAAGTGTAGAAGTATGGTTTGTCACCCTTTGACTGTGGATAGTAAAAAAAAGTGAGAGAATTAAGAAATAATAGTGGAATTATTAATCAGAAAGGAAGTAATTTCAAGTAATTTCAAGATCTAGAAAAAACCTCAGTCTACTCATGTTATAAAGAATGAGAAAGGCTGGGCTGGTGGAGTGGAGCACCTGCCTAGCAAATACAAGGCCCTGAGTTCAATCCCCAGTACTGCCCAAAAAAAAATGTAGCCACCTGCTAAGGAAAATAGCCATCTCAACTGAATCCAAGTGCTAAAGGTCGAGACATTAAAAGAATGCCCATTAGGGACCATAGAAACCTGTAGGACCTCAGGGTATACTGCCCAGCATGGCCTTACATGGTAGGTCCTGCCCCTACACTCAGATGCTGTGTTCCTCAGCTGGGTCCCGGTGCAATGTGAGTTGTAGTGCACAGAACCAGAACCAGTTCACAGAGTACATAAGCTGGGTGAGTAACATGGCTTATTCCATCTAGGTTTCAAAGGATCAGAACCATCATACTCAGGCATAGAGATGCTATGAAAGGCCCAGATAGACAGCTGCTGCAGTGCTGTCTCACAAGCTATGATGAGACATACGGAGATGTTCAGAGGTTGTGTATGTGTGTGGTGGTGGGGAGAGATTATGCCCTGCAAAGCTACTAGGACAGAACTGCTACCTCACTGTGTCCTGAGGGCAGGACCTGTGTTCTAATGAGCATAGAAGGTAGAGCCTCAAGCCAAAGATTATTCGATTATTTTTTAGACTTAAGATTGAATGTTGTTTGTCTTGTGTTTCAAACATTCTTGGGATCTGTTATCTTTTTTTTTTTTTTTCCTATTTCTCCCATTTGGAATACAAATGTCTACCCTATATCTGTCCCATCGTATATTGGAAGTACATAACATGTTTGATTTCACAGGTTCATAGCTGGAAGTCTCTTGAGACTTCTTCCTATATGATTTAAATATCTAGATGAGGTTTAAGACTTCAGACTTTTGAATTGATGTTAGAATAAGTTAAAAGACTTGAGGTTTTCAAGGTGGAATGAATGTACTTTGTATGCAAGAAAGATACACATTTGGGGGCAACTTGAGACTATGATATCACAAATTTTAATACAAATGTCAATAATGGTATTTTTAAAATGCCATTCTATTAGTTTAAATTTGATGATAGAAACAAAAATTTTAACATGGTTGTAGAACATGGAAAGAAATAATTATTTGTGTATTTAGAGACAGAAATAGTGACAGAGAGGTTATCTGCCATATAGAATTAAAGAAAGGATTGGGATTTGAAAGGACCTGGTACTACAAAATCCAGTGTGCAAGTAAGGAGTTAAAAGCAATGAAATTTTTTCATAGTCAGAACATAGACTGTGAGACCTTAGGTTTCTTTCTTCTGTAGTCAGGCTGTTAACTTTTTCACCCACATCCTTGAAAACAAGGATATGTATATATATTAGAAATTAAACTAGAGAGGCTCTTGACTCAGGGACAATAGGTTGAATGTTTAATAGTGATTTTTATAGGTCAAAAATCAGAAAGATATATAATAACCAGACAAGGATCATACACATTTGCAAAATGTTTCTAAACAGAAAGACAAAATAATAAAAGATATAAATCTCAAGGAGAGGCATCTAAGGAACAAATGAGAATTTTAAAAAGTAAAACTTTGCCAGAGATAAGAAAAATTTTGATGGTAGAATACCTGCTTTGCAAGTGTGAAACCCTGACCCCAGGCCCACCAAAAAAATAAATGAAAAGTTTAAAAAAGAAAATTTTTGAGTCCATAAGATAAGAGTCTGTTTTTTTTTTTTTTTTTTAAAGGACCACTTTACACTCTTTAGGATGTCCATAATAATAAACAATACTAAGCCAGGCACCGGTGGCTCACTCCTATAATCATAGCTACTTGGAAAGCTGAGATCTTTGCAAGACCCCATCTCCATCACTTGAGCCACTCTACCAGCCCAACAAGACCCCATCTCCAAAATAACCAGAGCAAAATGGACTGGAGGTGTGGCTCAAGCAGTAGAGCACCTGCTTTGCAAACCCCAGTCCCACTAAAAAAACAAAAAACCAAAATTAGTGATAATGTATTAGTGCAGATGTGGTGCAGATGTGGAGAAATTGGAACAACATTTATGTAGTGCTGGTAGAAATTTGTATTGTCATGGAAAAAAACAATCTAGAAGTTTTTCAAAATGGGAAGGGTATACTCTATGAACTAGCAGTTTCACTATTAAGTATTAATCCAAGAGACAGTAGGGGACATTACCAACAGAGTTTCTTTTTTGAAGTGATTAAAAAGATGTCCTAAAATTTATTATAGTGATCTTTGCACAATTTTGAGTATAAAAACTGGACTTGTACACTGTAACTGACTAAATTTTATGTTACATGAATTGTCTCTCAGTAAAGCTGTTATTTTTTAAAAGGAACACAGAACAGGAAATAGCCCCTTACAAACAAAAACACAATAGCTGAAATACACAAAAGGTTTGTAAATTTAGTCATAAAAGTCTTCTAAAGGATAGTTCAGGTGGGAAAAGCAAAAAGGAAAACTAGAAAAATAGAACAAAGAAAAATAATTTTGAAATGTGACCATTATAAGTCCCAAAAAACTAAAAGATGGAAGGGAAGAAATAATAAAATGAATGATATGAACATTTTTCCACAATAAAAGATAATTATGTCTACATTGAAAAAGTTCATTACATTTCCCACATGATGAGTTAAAAATGACCCATGGCAATAATGATCCAGTGTAATTTCCCACTTTGGTAGCATCCCTTGGTAACTACGGGTTAGCCTGGCTATAATCCACATGGTACAGTGCCAGCAGTTATCCTAACACTACTTCCATTTTAGATATTGTGTATAAAAATGGCAAAGGGATCTTATATTTAGCTTGCTTCACATTACTTTACATTTCTTATGTATCCAGTGATCCCTACGGAAGTTGGTTTTATCATTTCTCAATTTCATTGATAATTTCTACTTCCCATAACTCATCACAGTTCAGTTGTTGTCTCATACCATTTGTCACCATCAGGAATTAACATCCTGATGTTGTCCTATCCCTATCATCCTTTTCCCAAAAAACATATTCAACATGTTTCAGTTCACAAGTTATCGTTGCAAATCCTACCTGTGATAACAGTTGGGTTAGGGATTTCTCTAAGACTACTGCCAGGCTCAGTGCTTTATACGTAAGGCTCACAGGTCTCAGAAGAACTGTTACACTCTTGGTTGTGGGTCATTAAAGCGAGAGGACACAGATTAAAATGATTAAAGAACAAAGGCACTTAGGTAAGTACATAGTTCTTTTACAGTGGAATTACCCAATGTGTTAGTTTTCTCTACAACTATGTGCAACAATTCTGTAATGTGTTGCCAACAAGGAAAGTTCACCTGAGCCTTGTCCATGCAATGCTTATATGACTGATCTAAATTTTTTAGACTGTAGGCCTGCATATAAAACTGCACTCACCACAACTCACATAGATAGAAAAAACTCTCCAGTTAAACTGGGACTGTGTGGCCAAGGCTTCAGTATGCAAAAACACTTATCAGGCAGAAGATTGCATAGCTCATCTTCTAGGAGCTGACCAATGACAGTCCTGTAGACAGGCTTTTCTTGGTAATGTACAAGGTTTTCAAACCTTAGGTTTACTGAGTTAACCTTTTTGTTTGTTTTCTGTTTTCCTCGTTGTGGTACTAGGAATTGAACTCTGAGTTAACTAACCCTTTTTTAAAACTTGTCTTTTTGTCTCTTAACATTGTTTTTTAGAGAACATAAGTTCCTAATTTGATTAACTCTGTTTTATGACATTTTCTATTAAGATTTTTGCTCAAATCTAAGAAATACTTCCCAACTCAGAGTCTCAAAGATTTCTAGTGTGCTTTTTGTTATAAGTTCTAGCGTTCAAGGTTTCATGTTAGGCCCATGATCCATTTTATATTATTTTTATATTTGATAAGCGTTATTGATAAAGGGTTCTTTTATCACATGGATACTAATTATTCCAACACTAATTGTTGAAATACTGTTTTCTTCTTTGCGTTTCCTTTGCACCTTTTTTAAAAAAATTGTTTACAGTAATATTCCCTTATGGGGATATGTTGCAGAACTACCAGTGGATGCCTGAAGTCATGGTTAGTACCAAACTGTACATCATCCTCCCCAAAACAGTTGTCCTTTGCTCCTGTGTCTTTAATCTTACTTCATTCTTTTTTTAATTTTTTCATGGCATTTACCACTGGTGGTAGTTATATATTGTTTGGTTTCCCTTCTTTGTTTTCTTCAACCTTGCATCCCTGCCTTTGTCAACAATGCCTAGTGGTCAATGTGTAATCAATAAATATTTACTGAGTGATTGGTTGAATGAATACTGAATGAATAGTATTCCTTTGTGTCAATTTGTGTGTATTACCCTAGAAAAGCAACCTAATCTACTGGATTACTGAAAACAACACTAATTTAATTTCAGTTTGAAATTAAAATATGTAGCTGAAAGCTCCTTATATTTTTTAATTTAATTGGGGAGTATCACAAAAATTCTCATAGCATTTGCATATTTACCTTTTTAATTATTTCCTGCTTGGCATTTTTACTGTTTGCTTCTGAATTGACGTATCCTGGACCAATATATAAATTTCACTATCATACAGAAACAAAACTATTTACAGCATTAAAAACTAAGTGATTAATTTGAATTATTTTGTTCTAGTTTCAAAAATTGAGACATGATCTTGAAATGGTACTATCTACTATTCAGTCAAAGAATGAAAAGTCAAAGAAAGACTTATCAAGGTATATTTATTTTGTAATTACTATTAATCAGTGATACGTGTTGAATTGGCATTTTGAGTTCTATTTGGTGATTTGCTTTGTTTTTCCATATTTAAAGAGAGCAACAGTGGTTGGATGAACAGCAACAAATACTGGAATCTCTTAATGTACTACATAGTGAATTGAAAAACCAGGTTGTTACATTTTCTGAATCAAGGTAATTTTGTGTTCTAGATTTTTAAAGTAGCAGAAATTATTTTTTTTAATGGTACATGAAATAAGAGCAGATTTTATCAGGAATCATGAGCCTTGCCCTGACTTACCAACTATTTGTTACATAACCTTTTATTGATGACCTTACATTGTAGAATCATTAGTTTCATTACAGAATATTACTTTCATAAAGCTAGTTATTTGGTTTAAGCAAATGAAGCTTCTACAAAGATAAACTTTATGAATAACCAGGAACATGTGCATGTATTTTAAAATGCTTTACTTTTCTTTTCATCTATTAGAATCTTTAATGAGCTGAAAGCTAAAATACTTAGTGTACAAGAATTTAAGGAGAAACTCTTGGTTTCTTTGGGTGAGTTTCTAGAAGACCATTTTCCTCTGCCTGATGGCAATGTTAAAAAGAAACAGGTAAGTTTAATATTAGCTTTTATCATTGCTTTTGAATTCTTAATTTTAATCCATTACTTCATTTGTTTGTTTTTTGTTTTATTTTGTTGGCAAATAATTTGTTCAAGAATTTCTTTCTTCCTTTCTTTCCTTTCCTTGTCCTTTTCCTTTTTCCTTTCCTTATTGGGTCTGGAACTCACTATATAGCTCACATGACCTCAAACTCTTGAACTTCATCCTCTAAAGTGCTGGGATTAATATGCCACCACACCCAGCCAAGTGTTTTATTCTTTGATTTTTAAAAATTACTTAGGTTGCTTTTATATTCAATGTCTAGAGAACATTTTTGTTAAATCTCAAGATTAGAGAGGTGTTGTTCAGTGTCTTCTAAGATGGAATGTGTGATACGGAACTCTGCGGCCATCCAGTTGCTATTTGCCGTTTGTGGTTATAGAGCTGAAAAGTTGTTTGAACTTCAGTAATTTAACAAGGATATGTCATAATGCTGTTCATTCAATATCAATTTTCTCTGAACAAATTTAGTTCACATTTCATGAAAAGTTTCTTTTTATGTCTATTGTTTATTAATGTTGAAACATTTGTTTCTTATCTGCTTCATTTTTCTTAATATTTTTTATTTGTATTTTCTTGGATTATCTCAAACTTTATATTTTAATATGTGCTTTGCTTATTTGTTAATCTGTTTTATAATTATGTTGCCTTTACCCCTCATAAATCATGCTCATTTTTGCTATTCCTTTTCAATTAGCAAGATATTAGGAAATTTTGATATCCAGCTTTAGTCTAATATCTTTACTCAGGAATCACATTTATTTTTGGTAGTGTCACTTTATTATTTCCTTTTATATATTTATATTTCCATAAGACTTTATAAACACTTCATAGTAATCTTTGGTATCAGGAAATGGGTGACTTTGCAATTAATTTTTTTGTACTTAATTGAACATCTGAACTCAATCCTTCTTAGAATTATTGGAAGAAGGTTTTTAGTAGTTTCCTTTAGAGTTTTGACATATTAGATATTTTAGACAGTACTATGGATAAAGACATAGAATACAAAGTTATCACATTTTCAGATGATATAAAACCACTGTGAGAGACTAGATTAAAAAAAAAGACAGATTACAGTATGTGCAGAAAACAATCATGATTTTAAATGGTCTCATCTATGTCTTGTGAAAAAGAATTGAAAGACCTAGTAGTGACTAATAGGGAGAATACTTGGGTCTTATAATAGCCATCTTCCAATATCTGATGAACTTGAGTAGAATTTGAATGAGTTATTTTTTTTGTTATTCCAAGGAAAAAAGAATAATGTGATGAGTTAACATTAGGAAATGTCAAGAGCTGTGGAAAGGTGAACTGGGCTCCCTTAGGAGCAAATTTCTTGCCTGAAACTTTGTAAATGTAGTCTAGAAGGTCTTTTTTTTTTTTTTGAAGAATATTTAGTGAGGGGTTCAAATATTATGCTTTCTTTTATATGCAGTATTCATAATATAATATATTACATGTTTATGGGTAATTTGAATTGTGTCTTATAACAGTTATGAAAGTTTTCACTGTTGTGGAGGTTTTTCAATTGCTCTTTTATAAATCTAGTATAATATGGTCGTATCCTTACAGATTTGTACTTTTTGTTTGTTTTTTGGCAATTCTCGAGTTTGAACACCGGGCCTTGGTTGCTAGGCAGATGACCTACCACTTGAGCCACACCCCCAGTCCCTCAGAATTTTTTTCATATCACCTGATTATGAGGTTGATTTTAGTTACCTTGTACCATTGCAACTAAGAAATACTAATTTAAAAAATCTTTTAGTTCAGTATTCTGCCAATGCTAATTGTTATTCACATTTTTCTCAAAGAAAAACATTCAACAGTCAACTGTACAGCTGATAACCCTGCATGAAATGATAATGGTAAGTGTTTGACATATTGTTTTTTGTCTCAGAGCTACCTCTTACTTAGTCACTTATGAATAGTTGTTCTCAGGCTTAAAAGTAAAAACACACTGCTTCAATTCTTAGGGTATATGTTGATATTAAATACATTTACAATAATTTATCTTTACTACAAAATTAGTATCTGTCTTCTATATTAGCAGTGTGGGAAGAATATTGTCATTTAAAGAATATAAAGTTAAAGTCCAACCCTTACACATTCCAAGGTTTATTGGAGTTAGATACTATTAACAAAATTTTTGATGTTTAGTATTTGCATAGTAAAACCTCATGCTGTTACATTGATGGAATTTTAGTTGACAGCTCTGTACTCTACCTAAAATATATAAGTGATCTTAAAGATACTTTCCAAAAAGTTGGAGAAATTAGTGCGAAATTTTCTGTAAATAACATCAGTCTCTTTGTCATCATATAAAAATTGAGTAATTTCAACCTTTTCTGTTTGTCATTTGTTTTACAAATAAATGTCTTTGACATTTTAAAATGTATTTGAACATCCTCCAGATTATTAAACATATTTCTTAATATATTTAAATAGTATTAATGTGATAATCCATGGCAAATTGGGCAGAGAGGAAATAAAAGTCTATGAAGATAAGGTATTTATTAGTTAGTGCACCTTTTTAACATTGGTGAATAAAGGATAGCTTTCTAGCTGGGTGCTGGTGGCTCACACCTGTAATTCTAGCTACTCAGGAGGCAGAGATCAATAGGATCATGGTTCAAAGCCAGCCTGGGCAAATAGCTCATGGGACCTTACCTCGAAAATAACCATCACAAAAAGGGCTGGTGAAGTGGCTCAAGGTGAAAGCCCTGAGTTCAAGCCCCAGTACTGGAAAAAAATTTTTAAAAGATAGCTTTCTTGATAAAGAATACTATTGCTTTATAAAGGCAAAATTCAAATATTTATTGAATTTGTGATTAGAGTATGTTAGCGTATTTCTAGCTTCTCCAGTTTATACTGAAACTGTACAACTTGTTTTTATAACTTGTCTTAATTTGTTTTAATAAAAATAGTCACGTCAGGTGACAAATATTGAGAAATATTAACTGTGATGTGTATGTGTATAATTTTTGAATAGTGTGCTGTGTGATGTAATGTAAAACTTAGGAAACTGAGCATGCATCTGAAACCTCATCAATGATAAAAGTGACCCAATTCTTAAACTGCAATTTAGTAAAAAATAAAGTTCAATATACATATTCATTTTTAAATTTGAATTTTTATTATTTAATTTTCTACTGTTTTCTAGAATTTTTTATGGTTTTATTAGCATATAATCAGTTTATAGGGGGATACACTGTGGTACTTACATATGTGTTTAAAATATGTTTTAGTTGGAGTTACCCTTTCCGCCATTCTCCCTCTTCCCCCCTTTCCCCTTCTTAGAACAATTCCAACAAATTTCATTCTTCTGTTTTCATATATGGAAACAAGATAAATCTACCATATACACACTCATTCCCCTTTTCCTTGTACCCACCCCACTTCCATGTCTTCTAGAATTTTGATTAATTAAATAAGAATGCTTTTATTTTATTTACTTATTTATTTTTGTAGTGGTGGGGATGGAACCCAGGGCCTCATTGTACTAAGAAAGAGTTATACCACCAATTTAGACAAGCTTTTAAATAAGCAAGTGTTATAAAATAGGAATTCATTCTTTCTCTCTGTTTTTTTTTTTGTGTATGTGGTACTGGTGATAGAACTCAGGACTTTATGCTTGCTTAGCAAGTGCTATGCCTTTTGAGCCATGCCCAAGTCCCTTTGTTTTTAGTTTTTCAGAGCAGCAATCCTCATACCTGCCCCCAGCTGAGATTATAGGCATGTTCCACTATGCCAGTCTATACCTAGAAGAAATGGGTTACAAGCTCTTTTCTCTAGGTTGTGGCGCTTGACATGGGTAAAGTCAATTGCTGGTTAACATTTTCATTTTGAGAAGTATCACTGAAAGTAGTGCTTGACAGAGTAATTTTATTCACTTTTATAGCAGTTTGTATTTATGTAAATTATGCCTTTTCTGTGTTCCTTAAAATGATAGCATCTTTTAATTAAAGCTTTGGCCTGGCAATCCAGAAATAGAGCCTAATCCTTAGTCTCCACCAATTAATTATGTGCCCCTGAGGAATACTTTAATCCTTCTAAGTTCTGCTTTTATAATTTGTGAAGGAACTGGTGCTAATAAAGAGGCAAAACAGTACATTTAGCATTTTTCACTATATTTTATAAAACATTACTCAAAAATTATAACTTTTCTAATTCCAGTGGATATGGGAAAAACAGGTGATTCTCAGATCTTATTAACTGCCTTCCCTGAACATGCTCGTGTCCACAAAACCCTGATTTTCAAGCCCTTAGAACATAATAATGGAGACCACTTCCATGTGGAATGCAGCTCGGAACACACTGCCTTATAGAATTAATGCAAATACTCAAAACCAGATATGGTTGTCAGCCTTACCATCCTTGATGAAAAAGAATCAAGGGTATTGAGGATGAAGTTGAAGAAAATGATGATAAAGTTGACTGTTCTAAAGATTTATAAAATGGATAGTTATTTTGAGGGGTGAAACTGGTGATTTCTTCTCCTCCCTCCCTCTAATAGTAAGATACTCTTGATAATTTTCTTTTGAATTTTATGTGTATGTAGTTGAATTTTATTTTTTTTTAAATTAAAGGATCCAAAGATTTCTTGGGATCAAACCTAGGGTCCTGTGCATGCTAGGCCAAGTGTTCTATCACTGAACTACGAATTTTAACATTTAAGTTTCTTAGCCTTTTATCTTTGAAAAATTATTAATACTAAACAAAATAGAAGAATTATAAATGCTTTATAGCCAGGTCTTAGGAAATGTTTTTCAAAAGTTGCAATACAGAGAAATTCATTTTAAAACTTTTTCAATTCACTAATCTCTGAAGTCTTAAAAATCAAATCTGTTATTTAAGTTAGTACATAAAAGTTATGCTTTACACAGTTGTTTAAGGAGAAAAGAGGCTAACATTTTTGGTGGAAAACTATTGTTAGGTCATAGACTTTTTTTCAAGTAAAGTATACTTTGAATGATATTTTTTTCCTAGATTCTTATAAATAGAATGTTTGATGTTCCACATGATCCATATGTCAAAATTAGTGATTCCTTTTGGCCACCTTATATTGAGCTGCTGCTGCGTAATGGAATTGCCTTGAGACATCCAGAAGATCCAACCCGAATAAGATTAGAAGCCTTTCATCAGTAAAAGGACAGTCTCTCTTCACACAGTGAAAAATCTTGTCATCCAAGGATAAACTTGAGACTCTTTAATAAAGAATATTATTTGCAACCAAAGTAATAGTCCATCTTCCTTTCTCTTTCTGTTTTTTTGTCTCTTTTTTTTTTTTTTTTTAAGACAGGGTCTCATTATGTAGCCAGGCTAGCCTCCAATTTCCTATCCTTCTCTCTCTGCAGTGCAGGCTGCTACCAAACCAAGCAAATCCATCTTCCTTTTATCCCTAAGTGACACTTCCAACAAGTCATTTTTAAAATGTTCCTTTCTTATTCATTCAGTGCTTTGGTGTTTTTAACTGTATGTACAAAAATACAAGAAATATTTAGGCTTATATTTAATATACCTTACTTTACTCCATATTCTTTTGAAGATTCTTTGTGAATTTATGCTATTGCTAATGTTTTTCTTTTTAAATATATAGGAGTATCTTATGCATGTTGAGTTCTATTTTAATACTTTTATATTTAGAATTTATAAGGAAAAATCATTCAATTTGGAATTTTTGTTTTGTTTTTTTAGTGGTAGGAATCAAACCCAGGGCCTCATTCATGCTAAGTAAGCACTTTACCACTAAGTGACACTTCAACCTTAGGAATAGTTTTGAAATTGAAGTAATATTCGATAAAGGAATTGGCATAATTTTAAAACACTTAGCAAATGTGTTTCATGTACATTGGCCATTTCTAGATGTGTTAAAAACTGAAATATGAAAAGCTAATGGGTATACCTATAGCGTTAAAACTATTTTAATGTGTATAATATAGCAAGTAACATACATATTAATCTGCTTTTGATTCTGCTAATTATTACCAGTAAAATTGTGTTCATGACAATTTGTAAATTTTTTTGTAAATAAAATTTTTTCTAAAAATCTCTAGTTATTGGTGCTGTGGCATATTTTTATAGACAAGACTTTCACATGTAGATAAATTAAGATAGTATATGACTCATTCACAATTATGTATAAGCTAAGCTAGAAAATTCTAAACTTACTCAGTATCATTAGTTTTTTTTTTTTTAAGGAATACTGTGTGCTTTGTTGTTGAAAATGCTTTCTATTGTATATTATCCCAAGATTCTTCTTTACCAAATAAGTATACCATGTCCCTGTGCAGAAAACACACGTACTTTGTTGATGATGATGATGATGATGATGATGATGATGATGATTGAGATAGGAGCCCATTATGTATCCACAGCTGGTCTTGAATTTGGTTTTGATTTTTTCTCCCCCCACTTGGATGAATATGTATTTAATCTTATCTCAAAACATATGTGAAAATCATTTCTATGTAGACTAAAGATGTAAGTGGGAAAATACATTATACATCTTTTTTACAGAAAAGCATAAGAAAGCTTCTTAATTGACCTTGAGGTAGGTAGTAATATTTTTTTTATTGTGCTGAGTGAGGGTTTATTGTGGCATTAATAAAAGTTCTTACTATATATCAAATATTTCTTACTTGGATTCATCCCCCTCCACCATTTTCTTTTTTCCACTCCCTCCCCTCACTCCTGGAATAGTTTCAACAGGTATCAGTTTTCCACTTATATACATGTGTACACAGTATTTGTATCATATTCTCCCTCCCACCTCTTCTCTCTCACTGGTACCAACCCCTCCCTGCCCCAGGCAGGACCTGTTCTGCCCTCCTGTTCGCCGATATTTGTAAATGATAAGAAAAATGACATTTTTGTTTAAGATAGCCACAGAGAATTTCCTTGTTAAATTTCCACGTATATATGTATTATAACCTGAATTGGTTCTTTTCCTCTGTTTTTCTTCTTTTTACCTTAGTCCCCTTCTTATGGTGGTTTCAACAGGTTTAAAAACTATATTCATTCTTGTATAGAGTATACATCAACCATATTCACCTTCTTAACTTTCTTCTTTTACCCTTCCCCTCTCATTTGTGACCTTCCTTTAGCATGACCTGTTTTTCATAATATTGCTGTGTTTGTATTAGACTATATTCCACATAGGAATGAGAGAACACGTGCAAGCTTTTGGCCTTCTGAACCTAGCTAACTTCACTTAAGATGATGTTTTCCATTTCCATCCATTTACCTGCAAACAACAAAATTTCATTATTGTTTGTGGCTGAATAAAATTCCATTGAATATAAATACCACATTTTCTTAATCTATCAGTAGTGGGGCATTTTGGCTTTTTCCTTAATTTTCATCCATGTCTGAAGCCCAAGGAAGTTACTCCAAAAAAGACAATGTTTTACAGCATAATGCAAGTCTTTAAAACTGCAAGAAATTGAAATTGCTTCCCATTTTTTATCTAGCCACATGGAATAAACTAGAATTCAAAAACAAGAGAAAGTACAGAAAATATTAAAACATGGAGACTGAATTAATTCACTTTTGAATGATCACTGGGTTGTTGAGGAAATAAGGGGGGAAATTTAAAAATTCCTAGAATAAAATAAAATTGAAAATGCAGCTTATCCTTACCTTTCAAACACAGCAAAGGCAAGTGCCAAACAGAAATTTTATGGCTACAAGTGCTTACATTAAAAAATCACAAAGATTTCAAATAACTTCACAGTGTACCCCGAGGATTTAAAAAAACCAAGCAAACCCCAAATCAGTAGATGGAAAGAAGTAATAAAGATCAGGGCAGAAATAAATGAAATGGAGACTAAAATGGAGTACAAAGAATCAATCAAAAATTTGTTCTTTGAAAAGATAAACGAGATTGAAAAGCCGTTGACCAAATAAACCAAAAGAAAGAGGGAGAAGATTTAAAAAAAAATACAGATGAGGAAGGGAATTTCAAACCCACTGAAATTTAGAGGCTCTTTAGGGAATACTTAAAACTTGTATTCTAATAAAGTAGAACATTTAAAAGAAATGTATAAATTTCTAGATGCATATGACCTACCAAAATTGACCAGAAGATGTAAATCACCTAAACTGGTCTACAATGAAATTGAAGCAGCAATAAAGATTTTTCCCAATCAAGAAAAAGCCAGGTTCAGATGGATTCATTGCTGAGTTCTATCAGACCTTTAAAGAACTAACACCAATACTCCTCAAACTGTTCCATAAAACAGAAAGGGAGGGAATGATAACAAACTCATTCTATAAAGCTCATATGAAGCTGATAGGGACACAACAACAAAAAATTATAGACTAATTGCCTTGATGAACATAGTCGCAAAATTGTCCATAAAATACTTGTAAACCAAATTCATCAATACATTAAAAAGATCATACATCAAGTCAATTTTGTTTCACTGCAGGGATGTAAGAGTGGTTGAACATATGCAAATCAGTAAGTAATAAAAGCACATAAATAGAATAAAGGCTAAAAATCTATGATCATCTCAGTAGCTGTAGAACTGTGACATTTTTATCCCTTCATGAGAAAATCCCTGAGGAAACTAGGAATAGAAGGAGCATGCCTCAACATAATAAAGGCTATATATGACAGTTCTACAGACACCATCATACTAAGTGGGAAAACTGAACTCATATCCTCTGTAGTCAGAAATGAGAGAAGGGTGTCCATTCCACTTTTATTCATTAAAATGCTTGAAGGCAAGAGAAAGGAAAATACAAATAGAAAAGAAGAATTTAAATTATCCCTATTTGCAGATGATATGATCCTATACTTAAAAGATTCTAAATACTTCATGAACAACAACAACCAAACTTCTTAGATTGCTAAACACTTGGCAAAATAGCAGGATACAAAAATTGAAAATCAGTAAGTTTATGTATACCAAGGAAAAACAGTCTGAGAAAGAAATCAGTAAAGCAATCTCATTCCTCATAGTCTAAAAAAAAATTGCATACCTAGGAATTAACCTAAGGAGGTGAAAGATGTTTAGACTGAAAACTATGAAACATTCAAGAAAGAAACTGAAGGCACTAGAAGATAAAAAAGACTTCCCATGTTTGTGGATCAGCAGAGTTAATATTGTAATAAGTGTCTATCATACCAAAAGCAATCTATAGATTCAGTGCAATCGCCATCAAAATTCTGATGTTACTTTTTCACACAAATAGAAAAAAATCTATCATAAAATTCAAATGGAAGCAGCAAACATCCTGAGTAGCCAAAACTTTCCTGAGCAAAAAGCAATATTGGAGGTATTACAATTCCTTCAAATTAACACCACAGTAACAAAAACAACATGGTAAGGCACAAAACAGACATGTAGACCAACGGAATACAATACAAGGTCCATATATAAGTCCATGCAACTACAACCATTTGCTTTTCAACAAATAACACCAAAACATGTTAGAGAAAAGACAACTTATTCAACAAATAGTGCTGGGGAAAACTGGATATCCACATGCAGGGAACTGAAACTAGACTCCTATTTCTGACCTTTTATAAAAATTAATTCAAAATGGATCAAAGAACTTAATACCTGAAACTTTGAAATTCTTAAAGCAAAATATGCCTTTTTTTTTTTTGGTGGTATTGGGATTTGCACTCGGGGCCTACACCTTGAGCCACTCTGCTAGCCATTTTTGTGATGAGTTTTTTGGAGAGAGGATCTTGTGGCTGGTTTCGAACCATGATCCTCCTGATCTCTGCTTCCTGAGTGGCTAAGATTACAGGCATGAGCAACCAGTGCACAAAACATGCCTTTCTGAATAGGACTGTAATTGCTCAGAAAATAAGAGCAAGAATGGACAAATGGGATTGCATCAAATTAAAAGGCTTCTGCATATTCATGGAATCAGTTACCAGAATCAAGAGCCAACCCACAGAATGGGTAACATTTTGACAGCTATTCATCATATAATGGATTAATACACAGAATGTATAAAGACCTAGAAATTAGACACCAAAAAGTTCAAACAATCCAATTAACAAATGGGCAAATGAATAGATAGCTCTCAAAGGAAGAAGTACAAATGGCTAATAAATACATGAAGAAATTTCCAACAGCTATGTCCCTAGGAATGCAAATCAAAATGACACAGATCCATTCTCACTACATTCCTGTTGGCAATCATTAAGAAAGCAACAAGCCTGCCACTGGTGGCTTACATCTTTATCCTAGTTACTTGGAAGACTAAGA